CACCCGTGGTAAGGCAAACTCCCAGGCAGTCAGGGACAGGCATCACCAGGAGAGAGAAGCATCCCTGGGGGCCCACAACCATTGTCCTGGGATCCTCGGACACCCTGCAGTCCCTCCCCAGCACAGTGGGCAGGGTGGGCTCAGTGGCAGTGGAGATCCTGCCCCTCCTCTGTGGGCCCGGCCTACTCACCATCCTATTCCAGAGATGCCAGGCCAACATGGCAGAATTCTGGAGTGAGGGATCCCCCTGAAAGAGAACCAGATGAGAAAAGGACCCTTTGTCTCCCCAGGAATGCAACGGACCTGCTGCACACTTGGAGGCTCTCTCTGGCATAGAGTTGGGGTGGCCTGATCTGTCCAGGTCCTTTCCCTCAGCCCCTCCTCTCATCAACCACAGGGCATCTATAGGACCACTGTCTGGGGCGAGGGCCCCGAGGTCAGGGCCTGCAGGAGCAGGTGGCACATCAGGCCCTGTGGTCGTGGGGTTCTCTGTGGCTGAACTCAACAGTGAGAAGAGGGGGTGGCAGGGACATGATTTGGGTGTGGTCTGCCTAGGAGGATGAAGGAAGGGCACGTGAAGCTAGTATTTCTTCTCATCCTCTTAAACCATCACTTTCAACACTGTTTATGGCCTGGAGATGGCACAAGGATTCTGACAGGCAGGAGCCAGGAGACTGGAGGAGGGGACTGTCCCCAGACACAGGACTGAGGCCGTAGAGGCTGCAGAGACTTCAGCCAGCAAGTGTGGACCAAGTGCTACATGATCTCGGTGTCCACTTGCCCAGTGACTTGGGGGAGGGGCCAGGGCAACTCAAATTCTCCTCCCAGAGATGGATGGAGAGGAGCTTGCAGTGAGAGGGGCAAGAGCTAGCATCCCTGGAGATTCTCTTCGGAATAACCACAATGGCCAAGAGGTACAAGCACTTCCCCAGTACCAGAAGCCACTCTACGTCCTCCCAAGTGTCAACTCATGTGGCTCTGATGACCACCAAGAGGGAGGACGTGTTAATAAACGGTGCTGATTTTACAGAACAGAGAGGTGGACACCTTGTCCAAGGTCACACAGCTGGCCGTCTCAGAGCCAGGAGGGGAAGCTGGGCCATTCACCTCTGGACTGCCCTGCCTCTAAGAGCCCGTCTCATGGGGGCTCTTCAACCCTGTGGGGAAATCGTATAGGAAAGTATAAGAGACTATGGTGGTATTTCCCCCAAGACTATGCATCCTGGGTTCAGGAGAGCTGAACTGGGCTGAGGCTTGTTGGGGTAAGGGTGAGAGAAGGGGCAGGAGCAGATTTATGGCCCAGGCCTCCTCCCCACCACACTTTGTTTATTTTGAGACTATGTCTCATTCTATTGCCCAGGCTGGAGAGCAGCGGCACAGTCTTGGCTCAGTACAGCCTCCACCTCCCAGGTTCAAGTGATTCTCCTGCCTCAGCCTCCCAGGTAGCTGGAATTACAGGCACCCACCAACATGCCCAGCTAATTTTTGTGTTTTTAGTAGAGACAAGATTTCACCATCTCGGCCAGGCTGGTCTCTAACTCCTGACCTCAAGTGATCCACTCGCCTCGCCCTCCCAAAGTGCTGGGATTACAGGTGTGAGCCAGCACACCTGGCCCCCACCATACTCTTGATGTGCAAGCCCCCACTTACCGAGGGTGGAGATGGGGTGGTCTCGTAGAAGAAAGGCTGGAAAACCACCGTGAAGGACTCTTGCTCACTGAACCTGCTGGAGGCCAGGAAGATGTCCCAGGCTTCCTGGAGAAGAGAGCAGAGAGGTGCCCATTCAGAAGCATGAGCAAGGCAGAGCCTGCCGGGGGGTTCGTTCTCAGCAGCCCCAGGACAGAAACTCCCTGTCGCATTGTTCTCAAGTGCTATTCTGAAGCTCCATCTTGTCTCACCCTTCAGGGCTCTTTGATAGCTAAGCTGAGTGTTCATTTGTCTCTGAAATGCTGGCGTTAGGTAATACCAGAGTCAGACCTAAAATACATTCTGGAAGCGTAGGAATGACAAGACAGCCCAGCACGTGGCAGGGCCCCTGCCCTCTTCAAGAGCTAAGTTCGGTCGAGGCAGGTGCCATTAACCACTCAAAAAGCATTGTCATTTCCAGAGCGAGAGAAATGCCATGCCACTTCAAATGTAATTTTCTTCTTAAGCAAAAGTCATCACATTAACACACACTAACGGGAAGGAACGGTGCTCTGAGCTGTTTGCAGACAGGGAGGATGGCTTTCACTGAGGCCCTCACCCTCTTTTTTTGTTTGTTTTTTGGAGATGAGTCTCACTGTCTTGTCCAGGCTGGAGTGCGGTAGTGCGATCTCAGCTCACTGTTGGGCAAGCTGGTCTTGAACTCCTAACCTCAATTGATCTGCTTGCCTCAGCATCCCAAACCACTGGAATTACAGGTGCAAGCCAGTATGCCCGGCCCCTTCACCCTCTCTCAGGGTCTCTTCTGTGAACTGGAATGTGCATCTTCAGGAGCCCTCGTTTGCTTTTGGGCTGTAGGCTGGGGACAGACACACCAGGCAAAACCAGCTCACCTGCCCCACATGTGGTACAAGTGGCACTGATGGCCAAAAGCATTCCAGAATGAATCTTCCAAGCTCCTCACTGTCTTCTGCCTAAAGCAGCACTGCCGTCCCCCCATGCGCACCCCTGCCAGTTCTGCAGTCCCCATTTTACACGCAGGAATACCGAAATCACCACCACGATGCCAACTGAGAGTAGCTCTTTGCTCCTTAGTCCTGAATTCAGCTGGAGAAGTCCTAACATTAGCAAACTCAACTAATTGTCCCTATCATTCCTGTTCTCCTTGGCGACCACCCCTCCCCTGTGAGCCAGCAGCCTGGGCACCCAGGGTGGGCTCACCTGATAGGACCACTGCATCACCACCTTGGCCAGCCTGGACGTCTCCTCAGAGCAATTGCAGGCCTCTGGGGCAGGGCTGCAGGTTAAAACACACCAGGAATGAGGGAGGCAGTGTGGGGAAGTGGTGATCCAGACTGCCTCTTACGGAAGAAGGGGCCTAGGAGTTGCTTAAGGAGTAGGGATAAAGAAGTTTAAGTCTTAGGGGATACAAATGTTGGAAAGAATAGAGGGTGCGTGGTCCCTTCCGGTGGGCAGGTATGGGACAGGGAAAAGCTCTTCCTGGGGGCTGGGTATGGGATGGGGGTAAATATGGGATAGACAGAAGCTCTTTCTGAGGGGAGGTGTGGGTAAGAAATGGGGTGGGCATAGGATGTGGGATGGGCATGGGATGGTGGGCACGGGATGGGGGATGGCATGGGATGGGGTGGGCATGGGATGGAGATGGGCATGGGATGGGGTGGGCATGGGATGGGGCAGGCATGGGATGGGGGATGGGCACGGGATTGGGGATGGGCATGGGATGGGGTGGGCATAGGATGGGGATGGGCATGGGATGGGGTGGGCACCGATGGGGGATGGGCATGGGATGGGTGGGCACGGGATGGGGTGGGCATGGGATGGGATGGGCACGGGATGGGGTGCATATGGGATAGAGGGATGCTCTTCCTCCCCCGTCATCTCTCAGACCTCCTCCTCCCCTCATTGCTCCTCACAGCAGATGCCCGCATTCCATTCTCCTTTCCCTCCTCTGTGCCTCCTCTGTCTCTCGTCCTCTTCAGAGCCTTCCTTCCCCTCGGCACCCTCTTCTCTCCTTTCCACCCTCTTTTCTCCACCACTCTTGCCCTGACTTTTTCCACATGAACTTCTTTTCTAGGTTCAGAGCCAGAATTCTTAGGATTTGGCTCCAAAAAGTTTAAAGTCTATGAACATTTTCAGAAATATATAGGAATCAAGTTCTGTGAAGTTAAACTACATTTAGGCTACATGTTCTTCCATCCAATTTCCAGAAGTAACACTTCTTAGCTTATGGATGTTTTGCCAAGGCGAACTCTCAAATCACTGGCAAGGAGGAGAGCCTCTGGCGCAACATCAACCAGACGGAGTGTTTTATTCATTGACTCAGTCCCCAAAACAATGCTTGGCAGAGGGCCCGACCCAACCGACTCTGCCACTTGCTGGCGTGTGAGCTCGCACATGCCCCTCGACCTCCCTCGGTCTCTGTTCTTTAGGGCCCCTCACAGATTAAGGCACATGAAGGGCCCCGCAGGCTGCACACGTGGCAGCCGAGTCACAGATGCTCGTCTCATTCCACTTCCCCTTTTACCTGAGCCAAGTACCCTGATGCTGGCCAGAGACCTCTGCAACCTCGGAGAGATCCACCAGGTTTACAAATGCTCTAGGGACCTAGGAGGACACAGAGAGGAAGGTGAGCATTTGCCAAGTTGCCCCAGCTGTCAGGCTCTGTGGAACTCTTGCTTGGGCCCCATTTGGGGCGTGGTTGAGTGTGATGGGCCTCCCTTTGGTTAACTGGGCATGACCCTTTGGGAGATGTTTGGTGGGGGTCAGTCCGCACTGCCAGCCCTGCGTTTGTGCCATCCAGAAACAGGACTCTCTGTCCATCAAGGTGGCACCTCCCACCAGTGTCCACAGGGCAGTGAGACCACTGGGGCTATAGGCCTGCAGGCTCCTCCAGCAGAAAGCTGCCCCCACCCCCCGGGGAGCAAAGCGAGAGGCTGAGCTTCGGCAACACCCGTCAACACCCCCCACCCCCGACTCAGACCCTGCAGCAGCATCACAGTCACTGAGCAGAAAGGCCTTGAAGGTCCTCAGGCCCCTCCATCCCATCCTCACCCCTGACTTGGGTAGAGAGTGGCCTTGGGGAAGAGCAGGGCCACCGAGGACTCAAGGAACAGCTGAGCTTCTCTCTGAGGTTTCCTTTGCAGTAGTGGAGTGCGCTCTCCTGACCCATGTTCTCATTTGAAAGGATGGGAAGATGGGGTCCTCTAAAGCTTTCCTCAGGGTCCAGTCTCCCTCCCGGGGTTCATTTCCCTGCCCTGGTCGTGGCCATATCTGGGTGAATGGGCCCCACCGCCCTCTGGGAAGCACTAAACTTGCGACCTCACCTCCTGCTGCAGGTAATCCAGCACCTCCTTCAGCTTGTCCAGGCCACCCGCCATGAGCCCATTCTGTGAGAGGAGAACCTAATGAGTGAGGGTATCAGCAAGAAGACCATGAGAAGCGGACACCCAGACTCATGACAGGCCCGTCCCCAGCAGGCGAGACCACAGGCAAAGGCCCCATCTAGACCTGGCATTCCACAAATGAGAGCGGTCCTGGAGCTTCCTAGTTTTGTCTTTGTTTTGTTCATCTGTTTTCTCCCCAACTTGTCATCTACCAGGGAGAAACCAAACTCCCCCCAGGTGACAAGTTCCGTCAGGAAAGGGCAAACTCAAAGCCAGAGCAAGGTCAGAAATACCTGGTGCAATTCTGAAGCTCATACTGAGGGATGGGAGACTTACTCCCAAAGACTGAGGAATTGCTTTTTTTCCAAAGAAAATCAGGTCCAACAGGGAAATACAATTAACCCTGGATTTAATTAACCCCAGATGGGCCTCGGAACCTTCACATGATCCTATTTTATCAGCCTTTCTCCTGCCGTATTTGCCCTAAGAGAAGGGCTGCTAGAGAAAGAGTATGAGTGGGCCCCCGACCTGAGGATTTAAAAACCTCTCCCACCTACACAATACACACACCACTCCCCTGCCTGCAAGTAATGAAAATCAACAAATGAAGGACCTCAAAAGTGGACCCCGCTTTACTGTTTTTTTTCCTTTTTTTTTTTTTTTTTTTTTTTTTTGAGTCTTGCTCTGTTGCCCGGGCTGAAGTGCAGTGGTACAATCTCGGCTCACTGCAACCTCTGCCTCCCGGGTTCAAGGGATTCTCTTGCCTCAGCCTCTCAGGTAGCTGGGATTACAGGCACCCAGCACCATGCCCAGCTAATTTTTGTATTTTTAGTAAATGTGAGGTTTCACCATGTTGGCTAGGCTGGTCTCGAACTCCTGACCTTAACTGACCCACCTACCTCAGCCTCCCAAAGAGCTGGATTATAGGGCTGGGCGCAGTGGCTCACACCTGCTTTACTTTTTCAATGTGAAAAATAAATTAATAAAAATTACAAGACAAACTCCTAAGTTGCCTGCAGACTGGCTGTCCCCTAAGGCAACCTGGCTCAGACAGGAAGACAAGGAGGGCCAAGGAGCTGTGCTGTTGTCTGGAGACAACTGTCAATCACCCAGGCTCGCACCGCACAGGAGGAAATGCAGTGTCCCTGCTTTGGTGTGAGGCTGGCCTCTGAGAGGCTGGTTCAGCCAGGTCTATTACCATAAAAGCCTTCTGTCTAATTTTCTCTAAGTAAGCCGCTCCCTGACCGTGACATCAAACATCACCCTCTCTTTCCTGAAGAGCCCGGGAGAACTCTGTCTAGAAGCATCCTCGCTGACCATCTTTACCACATCCATTGTCCCTGTAGAGGTGGGGGACCCTGTGTGGCTCTCCCTAGAGTGTAAATCTTGTGGTAGAAACTCCTGGTCAAGCTCACAGCTGTAGAGGGAATTGGGACCCACCCAGTCATTCCCAGCACTGCATGGTTGTCCACTCAGGGCTCCAACTGTCCCCACTTCTCAGTAGAGACATTGTACTCCTATAAGATATCCCTCCTCTATAATGTCACACAGAGTAAACTCCTGGAACTCAAAGTCAGGACAAAGCAGATTTCTTCAAATGAACTTTTACATTTCCATTTGTATCATTTGCCCCCTGGTTGGGAAGAATGTCTATTATCAAATATGTGCCTGAGACCTGACTTAACTCTAATAAATTGGGATTATTCAGTCAAAAATTAGAAACACGTTTAGGTTTCTTGAATCACACTGCCAGCATACCCTCCAAAAGGCTGCCGCCTCACCTGTCGCTAAAGACATTGGCAATGAATAAATGTGTCTGTTTTCTTGTCATCAGCTTTGCGATTTTTTGAATTTTTTCTTCTGATTTTAAAAATCTTACTCATTAATAAAACTAAAGGCTTTAACTAGAGAGTAGTAAGAAAATGTCCAAACCCAAAAAGCATCCTCAGGTCACTGCTGTGAGCCAGGTTCTCATTTACCTCCGAAGCATCTGCCTTCAGAGCTCCTGTCACACCTGATGGATAGTTCCTGACTTGAGTCTCTCTGACTTTGGTCTTAAGAAACTCCTAAAGAACAGCGGTGGACACAGATCCTTGTTTATTAAAGGAGCCCAAAGGTCTCCACAGGGGAAGAGACTTCCAGGTCCTAAGGTGGGGGCAGGACAGTAGCTCAACATTCCTTCTTAATGGTAAAACATGTTTTTCTTGTGTGTACTTTTCTTTTTCTGCCTCCCAGGTTCAAGTGATTCTCCTATCTCAGCCTCCCGAGTAGCTGGGATTACAGGTGCCCACCACCAAGCCTGGCTAATTTTTGTATTTTTAGTAGAGATGGGGCTTCACCATATTGGCCAGGCTGGTCTCGAACTCCTGACCTCAAGTGATCTAACTGCCTCAGCCTCCCTAAGTGCTGGGATTACAGGCATGAGCCACCACACCTGGCCTCTCATGTGAACTTTTGGGAAACTCCTGACACCTGTTCTGTGAGGTAAGGTGGCAGCTGCTGCCCACCTTCTCAGCATTTGCCTGTGGAGGGATCGCCAGTGGCCCCTGGGTTTCTACAGAGGACTTGTGGTGTTTTTTTGTTTGTTTGTTTGTTTTTAAAGATAGAGTCTTACTCTTGTTGCCCAGGCTGGAGTGCAGTGGCATGATCTCGGCTCACTGCAGCCTCTGCTTTCTGGGTTCAAGTGATTCTCCTTCCTCAGCCTCCTGAGCAGCTGAGACTACAGGCATACACCACCATGCCCACCTAATTTTAGTATTATTGATAGAGATGGGGTTTCACCATGCTGGCTAGGCTGGTCTTGAACTCCTGACCTCAAGTGATCCACATGCTCGGCCTCCCAAAGTTCTGAGATTACAGGTATGAGCCATCATGCCTGGCCATCTACAGAGCACATTTTGACAACCACTGAAAGCTTAGGAAAGCTTATGCCTAAGATGTGCTTTGAGAAAAATAGAACTGCCACATAAGACCTTCTCAAACGAGGATGCTGAGCTTCACCACAGGATTAGCATAGACAGGGAGGTGTGGCCAGAGGTGCCGCTAGGAGGCGAGTTGGGGTCTGGGCTGTGAGGAGGGCAGTGCCAGGAGGCCAAAAGAGCCACGTCCAGGAGGAGGGATTTATTCCAGGCTCCAAAGCCTTGGTGGTTTTTGTGCAACAGGAAAAATCAAGACACCAGAAGAAATGAAATAAAGAGGGAATCTGAGCAGATGCTAGCAGGTGTTGCTATACTTAGCTACATTTATGGACCTCAAGTTATTGGTTTACAGCTGTTTAAAAATGAGGAGTGAGCATGATTACTTTTGTCATATGTTTGTAACCAATTAAAAGTATGGGCTTTTAAGTGTGAATAAACTCAATTCATACGTAATCAACATGACTAGAGTTTGAGTGAATTTCTCATGTGGACAAAAATGATTAAGTCTGAGAACAAGAGTTGGAAATGTTGTAGAGAATAGGTGCTCACTGCCACTAGTGGAAATATGAGAGGTCAGCCACTTTGGAAGGCAATTAGGCAGAGCCTATTAAAACCCAAAGTGTGCACACCTAAAGACGCGTAAGAATCTACTCTGGGCACTTTTCTTGAGACTGCTTTTATCTTGACCCACAGTATGAGATGTGTTTCACACTTTAATCCAGTACAAGTGTCCATATAGAAAGAAGTACCTAATGTAGATGATGGGGTGATGGGTGCAGCAAACTACCACGGCACACGTATACCTATGTAACAAACCTGCACGTTCTGCACATGTACCTGAGAACTTAAAGCATAATAATAATAGTAATAAAAAGTCTTTACTTAAACCAGAAAAAAATGCAAAATCTCATGAATCAACACTTCTCTTACTACATGCAATGAACTCAAAGATTTTAGAGTTTATTCTATTTTTTTTTTTACAATTTTAGTTTCAATCCTTTAAACTGATTTTTTGACTCACTAATGTACTTCAGTCCACAATCTGAAAATCACTGTATCTAGAAAAACTCTTCCAAATATTCAAGTAAATGAGCAAGATTCTGTTTATTGTAATATTGTTTATAATAGTGAAAAACTAAAAACACCTAAATGGCCATCAGTATACGAAAATGGTGAAATAAAATGTAGTAAATTCACACAACAAAATACTCATGTAAGAGAAACAAACTCATTCCATATGTATCAACATGACTAGATTTCGACAATACTTGGTTTGTGAAAAAAAATTGTTCAATAGTACATACAATATAATACTATTTATATTAAGTCTCTCTCATACATACATGCATGCAAAATAATGCTTGGATTTATAGATATGTAAGAGGTTTTTGCAAAGAAAAAGAGAGAGGATTAGGGAGGTGGCCAAAAGGATATGTATTTTAGCTTTAACTGATGTTTTAGTCTTTAGAAGGAAAATATTTGTGTACTGCTTACATAACTAAAAATACGAATAAATAATATGTAAATGAATACATGTACACAAGAATACAACATGTATTTGCGAATGCTTGAAGACATAAATACATAAAAGCATGCAAGAATTTATGTAGGAATGCTTAAACACAGAAAATAAGGAAGAAAAGAAACAAAAAAGAAAAAAGAAAAAAATAGAAAATAAGAAAAAAGAGACAGGAACGTTTAAACACAAGACAAAGTATATGGAAAAATCATCAATGAGTTTAAGTATTCATGAATGCATTCATACATTTTAAAAAATCAAATGCTAACATGAACAAAGTAATCACAAGTACAATCACGTGTCTGTGTGTAAGATGAGAAAATGAATTTATACATGAATATGGTAACTCATAGAGGAATAAATGCATTAGTGAATATATAGAAGAATGCAGCAACGTCTAAATGCTTGTTCGAACATTTCAGTACATGAATGTGTAAATGCATGAGTTAATGCCATGAATTAATGAATATATAGAGGAATGCAGCAATGTCTAAATGCTTGAACATGTCAATGCATGAATGTATACATTCATGAAGTAGTGCATAATGACCAAAATGGGGGACTGTGCAGAGAACAAATGAGGCATGTAAATTTCACTTGGCACTGAAGAAAACAGAGGGTAAACTGGAACAATAAATCTTCACTATCTACGTGCTAGAAACCCAGGAAGGCTGCAGGAATATTGACCAATGAGAGCTAGTCAGGAAGGTGGATTTCCATCAACAATGAGAGCTAGTCAGGAAGGTGGATGTCCATCTCAAGGCTGACATCACTAAAAGAAGGGGAGTTTTGATGGTGAGCCAGTAGTCAGCAGGAGTATGGGGCACTTGAAGGAAGCCAAGAGTATCTATAGTAGGAGAGGGGCACAGAAAAGACAGTACCACCTCAAGAAGCTCCACCATGCCTGTGCCTTGGCCTGGAGGGTGGCGATGAGGACAAGCTAGTCCCACAAGTGGCAGGGCCAGCACGGTAGCAGCCTGGCTTCAGCATCCTGAACAAGAGTCCAGGTGTCATTTATTTCACCACCCCTTACACTTTCAACTGATCCTATTCTGAATGAGCTTCAGTAAAGAGTTAAGTCATTGATAGTCACCTACATAAATAATAAATGAGACCACATGTTTCATGTCCTGTTCCTAGGAAAGCCAAAGCACTTGGAAGATACAGTCTGCTCTGATAAACAGCAGCCTTCCCACTACAGGTATAATTCATGGGCCAAGGAGTGAGGATAGTATGCACCCCGCTTTATTTCCTAAATTCACAACTTACGTGAAATCAGAATTAAGAGGCAAGATAGTTTTTAACTAATCAGGATGCTAATTTTTCTCAGTTGCAGAATGACTATAGACTATGCTTTTCTATGCTTCTATTTCCTTTTCCTAATATGAGGGATGGTAAGTAAAAAGCACCTGTTCCTTTTGACAGTTATGAATGCATGCCATATGTACATTATGAATTATCTAATGTCACTAACTGTGCACTTAAAATGATTAAGATGATCAAATTTATGTTATGTGTATTTTATCACAATAAAAAAAGTTGAAGAAAAAAAACACATAAAACACCTGTCCAAGTGTATGAATATCTGACTGTGTCTATCCATCTATCTATCCATCCATCTATCCATCCATCAATCCATCCATCCATCAATCCGTTCATCTATCCATCCATCATCTATCCATCCATCTATCCATCCATCCATCTATCCATCTATCAATCTTTCCATCCATTCATCTATCTATCCATCTATCCATCCATCCATCCATCTATCCATCCATCCATCTATCCATCTATTCATCCATCCATCAATCCATCCATCATCTATCCATCCATCCATCTATCCATCCATCAATCTGTCCATCCATTCATCTATCCAACCATCCATCTATCCATCCATCCATCTATCTATCCATCTCTCCAGCTACCTATTCATCTATTCATCCATCTGTCCATCTATTTATCCATCTATCTATTCATCCATTTATTTATTCAGTTCTAAAATAAGCAGCATCAGGCCCAGACTGACAGCTGGGGATCAGGTAATCGGGCCGGTTTATTTTACTCCCTCTCCACCCCAGCATCTGCAATCCCTCAGCCCTCCAAGCTGCCATTTACCTGTTGAGCAGAGGGGCACAGGTAACACTGGCTTGTGTTGCTGAAGAACACATTGATGAGCTTCCAGTCAAGTTCAAAGTCAAGTTGCTGAAGAAAAGGGCAACAGTGTAAGGGGTGGTTTAGAAATCTAAACAGTAAGATCTTGAACCAAAATAATGTCTCTCTTTTTGTGTCTTTCAGTGTCATATGCTCATCCCTGAAAATCACATTTATGAATTTTTAATAGTATATGGCAGGAATTTAAAGTGGTATAACTGCTCTAGACTGACCAAATATATCCAAACTTTTTAAAATTAGAAGACACACCTTTTGATCCAATCATTTCATTTCTCCAAATATATTTTAAGAAAACTAGGATACAGGAATGATTCAGCTACAATGATGAAGCCTTATGCAGAAGAAGGAAAAACTGGAAACAACATAAATGTCCAAAACAGCAGATTGCTGTGTGAACCATACAGTACTCATGAGATAAAACACTACGTAGCTATTAAAATGATGCTGAAAAATGTAACTATCATGGGAACTAACCTACTGAGAAAAGTAGGTTATTAAAAAGTATCTCTATCTAGTAACATCCCTGTTTTATAAAATATATAAAGATATATATGCTTGGAAAAATTATGGAAGGGAATATACACCAAGTTATTAACCATAATTATCTTTGGGTTATTAGGCTTAAGGATGGTTTTACTTTTCTTTTCTTTTTTCTTTCTTTCTTTTTTTTTTTTTTTGAGAAGGAGTTTCGCTCTTGTTACCCAGGATGGAGTGCAATGGCGCAATCTCGGCTCACTGCAACCTCCGCCTCCTGGGTTCAGGCAATTCTCCGGCCTCAGCCTCCTGAGTAGGTGGGATTACAGGCATGCGCCACCACGCCCAGCTAATTTTTTGTATTTTTAGTAGAGACGGGGTTTCACCATGTTGACCAGGATGGTCTCGATCTCTTGACCTCGTGATCCACCCGTCTCAGCCTCCCAAAGTGCTGGGATTACAGGCTTGAGCCACCGCACCCGGCCAGTTTTCCTTTTCTTTTTGCTTGTCTTTGTTTTCTGATTTTTTCAGTAATGAACATGCATTTCTTGTGTAACCAAAAACAAGGTGGCAGCGAGGTGCAGCTGAAGAACATCCGACTGTGGAGCAGACACTTTAGATTGTGGCTCTAACTACTAGTGCGAACTTGCACCGGTCACATGACTTCTGGGAACTTCAGTTTCCTCATCTGGAAAATTCAGGGTTAGACACAGGATCTCTTCTCTATTTTCTAGAATAAGCATTATTTCAGAAATTCTGGAATTCTCCCGTTAGAGGAACACAAACTTTTTGGTGCAGCTCCTGCTCTAGTCCCTGTCTTTATATGACTTAGAATGACCTTCACTTCAATTCCCAAACTCTTTAATGTATGCGTGGCTGGCTGAAACAGCAGCTTCCCTTGGTTCCAGCAGTCCAGACCCAGTTTGCTAGTAAGGCTTGCCTTGGTTTGATACTTGCCCATAAGGGCAACAGAAAAGACTGAAGGATGCTTATTACAAACTTATATAGGTTACTGAGTAAATCGTATCCGAACTGGTAGGAGAGTGGGACCAAGGCACCAGCATGTATGTGACAGAGGCCTCCACCCCAGAACTAAAATAAATATGGTCATTATTAATGACAGCACTCACCACTATAATACACAATGCAAGCTACAGGCTTTTATTGAGTATTGAGCCTGTGCCAGGCACATCTAATACCTCATTTAATCCTCCCCAACCTGTGCTGCAGCTCTTTTATCACCCCATTTCATAAACAGGAAAATTGAGGTTTAGGGAGGTAAGTGCCT